ATGGAAGAATGATGATATAAATTTAACGTTTCAATATATTGTGTTGATCAAGACTAGATAGGCACAGAATCGTACATACATACATACATACATACATACATGCATACATACATACATACATACATACACTGTAAAGTTTTCAATTAGAGCGTATGCTGCAAACTAACGGATGAGATTAGTTCGTGGACTTTTTCCAAGGGTTCCTAATGCGGGTTGTGGTTGCCTCTTTATATTGCAAAGGTTGTCTTCTTTCGACGATGAATATATTATTGAAATATATGGTTTTCTTATTCGGTATTATTCGGTATGCTAACCAATACGGTCTTCTTCTTCTATCACTTCTCCAGTCTTATTCTTATATCCATTCCTACCTCGATACTTTACCGTATAACATGAAAATTCTAACCATCTGATCTTCACGGTTTTATACACGTATATTTTAATCGTTATTCAAAGTATTTTTTTGTATGCAGGATGGAAATCGTAATTGTGTTACTCTATTGACTTCCTAGGCGTTTGTTTTAATTATATAACGACCGATTAGGGACTGAGAAGAGTTTGGAGATCACATGACGCTATTCTATTCGTAACGACCATCGATTACCCGTTATCTAAAGAAGAAGGGATGCGTAACGACCAAAGTCACAAGTTGGTTTTTCCCCCCACTACAAACTTTAGGTGACTTTTAGGAATTTTCACAGCATTAAACACTACCTCAACACTTAAGATGATATTAAGACAAGACACGGAACAAGTAGAGTTAACCCATTCGTAGCCAGCTAGCTACGTCGATTTTATTTCGACGAGAAGTGAGATGGAAATCGGAGTAGCCGTATCTGTTTTTCTTCTTCTTCTTCGCAGAGTTTTCCACAATGTAGAAATAATTATATTTTTATAATTAATACAGATGAGTCAAGTTGTAGCCACTTGGCCTTCTCAAACGAAAAAGAAAGAAAGGGAACCGAGTGCATTGATGTATTTTATAAGGAATTTATAGCTTAAGGGGGTAGTAGGCCATTGGAAAATAGTTGAATGATATGAAAAGATATATTGCCGACAAATATGATTTTCCGAAAGGTCAAAGGACACCTTGAACGCTTTCCCTTGAAACATGATTTTCATTTTTATCCATTTTTTAAAGTATCCTTGAGATGACATCCCGTACGATATTTTTGAGAAATTAATTTACAAATTAATTTTTAAATCGAACAGTGACTTTCTCACACTCAAACACAGTCGCAAACGCAATAATGAATGAAAATAAGTATTTGCTAAAAAATCCTACATACTTCTCTAATGTAATATATATCAACTTAATTTTAGTATAATCTTAGTCAGCATATTTACTTTTAATGTATTCATAATATTAATGTAAGCATATTTATATCATATATTTATTTTAATTGAACTAATTTTAATTATTAATAAGTATATGCAACAATAATTATAAATATGTAAATTTAATTGTGTTTTTCTTCTTCTTCTCTTTTTTTAATTAAAATTTGCATCATTGTAGGCAGGGTTCCTTAAATTGCGATTGTCTAGCGGAAATGACTCCTGTGTTGCAATTTTGTAATATTTTTCCAAAATCTTGTTTCCCTTAAGGATACTTAAGAGGCTTAATTGACTCGTCGAATTTAACTTTCTTTCCATTCAAACAAACATTTGAATTGTTGCAATGGCGTACTCTCTTAATAAAGTAGCGTTAGTTGAACGAAGCATGATTGTAGCTTGTGTGAAGGCAATAAACGAAACTCTCTCTTACGGTAAGATATTAAGCCTAGGTTTTGTCAGTGTTCCGTAGAATATATCGGCAAGCTAACCGAAATCGCAACTAAGCACATTCTCGACCCAATGCAAAGAATGGGAATTTTCCTAAGCTAATGCTGTGATGTGTCTCAGGTGTTCCTTATTGATCTAATTTTGAAAATTTATTTCCTTCCCTTATAAATACACTCTTTACGGCCAAATCGGAAAACTTATAGGATTCGAATCGTTTAAGCTATGTTGAGCCTATTTATATTATATCTCAAATCCGTAAAATTCAAAATGAATTACGTATATAAGAACTTAACACCTATGGTCTTTATATCCTCTTTATTTTTGTGCCAATGTTTATTTTAAAAAAAGTTTTCACAACTTTACAGTTTTGCTACAAAACTTCTAGTTAAACCATTTTTCTATACAGGTTTAATGTCTCAGTTAATTCGTTTCATCACTTTGTCATACGTAATCCATAATATTAATCCGTTCGGCTTTGACGTTAATAATATTGATGAAAGCCACGTTATATATGATGGCATAATTAAATAAAATAAATATACATACATAGTGCCTGTTCGTATAATCAAATTAGAGGGAAGAAATGCATATATTTTGTAGTCAGATACCTCAAGTGATTTCTCGTATATTCAACAGCGGTTCCGTTTCGGTTGTCTCTTGAAAGTTGGGCGATATAGATGAGACATCGAGAGCTTATCCTTGTTAACTTTGTGTGTGTGTTTTTCTTTCTTTTTTTTTTTATGAGGTGGAAAACCATGAACAGGCGCCCATCAGTGCAGTGCGAGACTTGAACCCGCTAAAAACCATCCCTCCCCATGGCACGACCGTTTAGGTATATCTTCATAAGGAGGGTGGCGAACACTCCTACCGCCTTCCATATTGTCAGGTCGTGCAACATATTTGTCACAAGATTGTCGGGGAGAGGTAATACTCCAATTTTCGTATGTAGCCTCTGTTGTTCGTTATGGTATTTCGGACAAACGAAGAAAACATGTTCAGCGTCTTCGATGCACTCAATAAACTACAGAACGGATCCAACTCTATTTTAAACTTATTCAAATATGACCTAAAACAACTATGGCCGCTAATTAGCTGTGTCAAATAAAAGTCAACCTCACCATGTTGGCTACTCACCCAGGGCCGCAAATCTGGTATGAGCCAGCGTGTCCATCTACCCTTACTCGCTCTGCTTCAACGCTCCTGCCACTCTTCCACCTATCATTGTTCTGCTCGCAGCTTAGCCGCTTCAGCCGACAATCTGTGAACTTCAGCCCTATACATACCTTCTTTAGCTCGCAAGTCGATTGGTATCATGCCAGCGATAACAAAAGTCGCAACTTCCGACACCGTCCGATATGCGGCGCACACCCTTAGAGCGCATAGCCTGTATGCTGCCTGGATGTCTCTCGTGTATGACGATATGGCGAGGGCCTTTCCCACACATAAGAGCCGTACATTATTGTCGTAGTTACCACTTCTGCGATTAGCTTTCTACGGTCTTGCCTAGGGCCACGCAAGTTTGGCAGTAAGCTGCCTTTTCGCCCGTGTATTGCAGATGCCGTTTAACCAAAAGTCTGCAGTCGATCATCACTCCTAGGTATTTTATGGCTTCTTATGACTGTATCCTCGTATCTCCCTCTTGAATAGTCACTTTTTCAATCTTCCTCCTAAAAGAGATTAATACCGCTTCTGCTTTCTCTTCCGGCAGATCCAAATCCACTGACCGCAGCCACCTCTTGATCATGTCGGTGGTTTTATTCGCTGTAGTGGTAATTCCCTCCAAAGTTTTTGCCAAGAGAGTTATCGCTATATCGTCAGCAAAACCCATTATGGATGCTCCCACTGGGAGGGGTAGTCTCAGGATATCGTCATACATTACGTTCCACAATGTAGGGCCTAGGACTGATCGCTGAGGTACCTCTCCAGTGATCAGCTTTTCTCTGCACCCTCTATCTGTAACGTATCGAAGTTTCCTGCCAGTAAAATAACTAGCCACTATATTTACAAGACGCGGTGGGACTTTTCTGTCCTGTAGCGCAGCTATGACACAATACCAGTTTGCTGAGTTGAATGCATTTTTAATGGCTAGCGCTATTATTCAGCAATACATTTTGTTGCCTTCCATCCAGCGTGTCCCTTTTATCGCTTCTGCTGCAGTATATGTGACCACTTTTATTGTATCCATTGGGCTTTTCTTTTTCCTGAAGCCGAATTGGAAGTCCGACAGACCTTTAAACCTCTCCAGTGATTCTTCTAAACGATTTCGAATGATCTTTTCATACACCTTGCCTATCGTATTCAATAGGCAAATAGGGCGGTATGCATTTGCTACATGCGACGGCGTATTTGGCTTTGGCAGCAACGCCAGCGTTTGTTGTTTCCACTTATCTGGGAAAATTTGTTCTCTCAAACAAGCGTTGAAAGTGTTCGCAAACATAGCAGGCGTTGCCAACATAGCTTGCTTTGTAGCGCAGTTTAGAATGCCATCTGGACCCGATGCTATTTCTTTTGCAATGGCAACAATCTCCTCAGGCCCAGTGAGATTGATATTATCTCTCACCTCAATCAGTGGCACATATACAAACATGGCTTTCTGGGGAAACAAGGTGCCAAATATTTCTTCCACAAATTCTACACAGCTTGGCTGTTCTGAACATTTTAGCTTCTTCATTACCAATTTATACGCCATAATCCATGGGTCCTCATTTATCTCATTAATCAGTTTCTGGAAACGGTTTCTCTTGCTGACCATTATCGCTTTTTTAAAGAGCTTTCGCCTGAGTCTGAACTCTTCTTGGTGGTGGCTGAGATAGTCCCCCTCGATCTTACTGTGTGTGTGTGTGTGTATGCGTGTATGTGTAGGCGGGCGGGTGGGTGCGATATGTACTTTCTGATAGACAGGTACACTTAATATATCCTATACATGCTGTTTTTTTCGTTTTTGTAAATATGTACGGAAAAGCTCCATGAGGCTTGAAATGATGATATGGCGAAGGCATTTTATTGAAGTCGGGCTATTTATTATCTCAAAACTAAGTATAGAGAGAGCATTAATTTTGATTGTAAACATTCCGCTCCTGCTTAGGAGAAATGTTGCTTAAATTGTATGGAATTTTGAGTTTAAATTTTGATTCTTCGAGATCACTCGAACAATGATCAAGTTATATATATTTTAAATTTTAAAAATAATGCTCGTTTCCTGTTTTAATTTATTTTAGGAAAAATGTATGCTGTTATTGGTCGACGTCACGGTAAAATTCTGTCTGGCGATTTAACACAGGGCAGCGGTAATTTCTTCGTTTCGGCGATCTTACCAGTGATCGAATCGTTTAATTTTGCTCAAGAGATACGAAAGCAAACTTCCGGCTTGGCATGTCCGCAATTAATGTTCAGTCATTGGGAGGTAAGTTATCGAAAATTTCATAAATTTTATTAAATATATATATATATATATATACACTCACGTATATATATATGTATATACACATATATATCTATATACACATATACTATATACATATATCTCTATGTATATACACTCATATAAAATGAATGCAAAATTGCATAAGAACTCTTTGCTCTCGAGAATGCCTCGATGGGTGTTAACAAATGTTTATCAAAAGTTAAGAGATCGATCCTATCTCCGCTATTGGTAAATCGATTCTCCTTAACTTGAATTTGTTCTCTTTTTTTTTGAGCCCCCTATACCATACCTAAGCAAATACAGGGCACGAAGAATTCCATAGATTAAAAGTGAAAATTGAAGAGAATTAATTCGATAGCATTTAGAGGGAAGTGAAACGTTTGTCGAAACGTTTCTCAATGAAAATAAAATAAATGAACCCTTAACGCTAAAGGTTTTGAATGAATGCAAGTGGTCTATGCTTCTATAATTCGGGATGTTTGCGGTTTTTGTATCAGCCGGCTAATAAACTGTTCACCACAAATATTTCACATAGTTTTTCTTTGCTGTTTTTTTTTTTTTGTTTTATTTTATATTCATAATCAGAGAATTCGTTTATGTTAACTTTGTCATTCCGTTTATAACTTGGAATCAATATAAGATTTCGGGCCGTTTTCGACCAGCTTTAGACAAGAACTGCTTTAGATATTGTTGCTAATAGGAATCTTTTTTTTTTTATACCAAATATATATGGATTTCCTTAATCAGTTGCCGGATATTTGAGAAATCGGTTTCGAATATATTGATGCGAGCACGTGAGAGAAGGAATTTCTTGATAACTACATGTTCCTAGTAGCAATAATTTGTACAAGTTGTGAAGTTATGAATCCATTATATTGTATTTCTAAAATTTTCACTTATATTAAATTTTGAAATATTTGAAGAAGAAAATCGAAGGTGTCTGTCGATCGTTCAATTGGCTGGACAAATGATTCTTTTCCCTATTCTTTGGGAATTTTGGGAGAATATTTGCTTTTTATTGAATTTGGATGCTTGTTATTTTCAGCATTAATTGTTAGGTATTCAAAGTGCTCTTTTAAGTCTCTAAATGAAGGGGTTTATGTTTCTGTTTTATTTCTTAACTGATGAAACGATACGCGAAGTCTTATAAAAATGTTATGTATTTAGCAACAGTTGTTGCTAAGTTTTTTGCTTTCTCCCTACCCTTAACAACATTGTTGTTCTTCAATTGTTGGTTGCGGCAAAAGAGCTGAGAGTTTTGTTTTGCATTTTTTTTTTTTTTTTTTTTGGTTTTTGTGTTTTCATTGTTGGTCTGTTTTTAAAATAAAAAAAAAATTTCTTTGGTTTTCTTTTCGTTTTTGCCCGCAAACGCAGTTACGAAAGCAGCAGCAATCAATTTATACAACCAACCAGAAATATCCAACCAAAGTTAAAGTTATTGTCTTCTTTTAGTGGAACCCTTCCTGTTTGTGGTAAAGGTCGTTGGAGAAACGAGTTAACTTGTGGTGATTTTAGTATTCATTTTAAGATGTGTGTGTGTGTGTGTGTGTGTGTGTGTGTATGCGTTGTTTGTGTGTGTGTGTGTATGTATGCGTTGTGTGTGTGTGTGTGTGTGTGCATGCGTTGTTTGTGTGTGCGCGTAAATTCACGACCTTGTCTTTCGAAATCAGTTTTCGCCTGGCCTTCTTACAAAGGCACAAACGCACAAACGCACGTGTGTCATGACAAAAAAAAAACAAGAAAAAAGCTAACAGTTTAAGATTCTCGAGGTACACGTTTGGACTAACGTAACATTTGCTGTTTTCCCATAATATTTGTTTTCACAACAATCAATTCCATTGACGTTTATCAATCAATTTGGAATATAATATTTGTCCGTCCATATGTGTGAGTTTGTTTGTTTGTTTGTTTGCTTTTTTGTTTTGTCTCTTTTTTTCCGTTCGGTTTTGTGTTTATGCGCTTCGGTGTCTGTCTGTCTGTCTGTCTGTCTGTCTGCGTGTGTGTGTGTGTGTTTGTGTTTGTGTGTGTGTGCGTATTTTGAAATCAAACTCTCAACAATTACTTTTTTTTTCATTTCGTATCGTTTCGTACGTTTCGTTGTATTTTATATTTGTCTTGTCTTTCCTATTGGGATTTAATGACATAACTTCCGGCCATTATCTACACAACTTGGTTCTCAATACAAATGTTGTTTTGTTTATCTAGGGGCTAGTTGTTGTTGTTGTTGTTGTTATTGCTGTCAGTTTGAGAGCACCAAAATGTAAAGAAAAAAATCAAACTAGTTTCAATTTTGCTTTTTTTTTCCTTTTTTTTCTTTTTCTACATTTAATTTACTTTAAAATGTCAGTTAATTAAACGTCAATGTGTTTATTATACGCGCGATACTATGATAAATATTTTTCAACCCCATTCCGAAAAAGTATATTAATCGCTGTATACCGCACGTAACGTTCAACAACATTGCTTCCCAATGAAAGACCAAAATGGAAAACTGAGACTAGAACTACAAATTGTCAATATATATATATATTTACATACTTTGGATAAGCCAAACATCTTGAATTGTGTTAAATATATTTGTACCTCTGTCCATTTTTTGTTGAGACTTTTATGATTTCAAAGCACGTTTACCTATACTAAGAATAAAGTTGGACCTGTCAAGTTCATCTCAACAGTTTTCATAGATTTCAATTAGTAAACATTGATCCGTTCATTTTGATTTGGTTTTGACTTCTCGACTCTTGCCCGAATGTAAGCGCCTGGAATTAACGAAAAATGTATCGGCGACATTTTTTTCCCTCCCTTTTGTGCGTAAAAATATTATCATAGTTTTTCAAAGAGCATTAAAAAATTCGTATACAATTACCCTTTTCCGTTTATACTCCTTTCTGTTGCCATTATTTGATTTTATTTATTTATTCTAAATTTTATGGCCCGTCATTCCCGTATCTGTTATATATAAACACCGTGCATAGCACAACACTTAATAAAATATATTCAAATATACATTTATATATAAGTTGACATTTGAACATATATATATAAAAAAAAAAAAAAAAAAAAAACAGTGTTTAGATAGTTTTTGTGTGTAGCTTTGTGCTTATAGCATTTCCTTTATGTATAATTCTATCTACGTATTTTTCTTTATTGAATCGTTCTGAACGCAAATAGTGATTAATAGACTCTTAAACATCTAATATCTTATCTGTAAAAATTTGCACTTACAAAGAATTCGATTAAAGTTCTAACAGCAGTGTGTGTCTAATACGCAAACACACACCTTTCGCGTTTTCAAACACACGTGTGCGCTCAATCCCTTTCAAACTGACGCGCTAGAGTCAACGACTTAAGATATGCTTTCAATTTAATTCTTTTCTCTCTCTCTCTCTCTCTCTCTCTCTCTCTCTGTGTCTCAACTTTTTTCTACTTATCTGAACCTATGATACAAACAAAAATTATAAGAACATTTCTTAATATTTTTAATTTATACATGAAGAAAAAAAAACAAAACCAAATGATTTTTGATGATGGTATTTTCAACTTAACAAACAAGATATGAAAAAATTTTATAAATTTTTTTTTTGAAATTTTTTCATAAAAGTTAATAAAAATTGAAATAAAATGACAAAAACCAAAGTAAGATAAAATTATTTTCCATTCAACTTCAATTATGTTAACTGTAATAGACAAAATGACAAAATGTGTCCACCAATAACTGTGTGCATGAATGCGTATGTGTGCGTGTGTGTGTGTGAAAGTTTCTTTTAAGCATCGTCAATGTTAAGTATGTAAACATAATTTCAAAAAAAAAAAAAGTCTGCGCTAAGGTGTTAGAAAGATGGGCCCATAAATGCATGGGAACGTTCTTTAAGGGAAATCACGAAGATTCCTGCGTTATTTCATGTCGTGATTTTCAAACAGCTGGAAATTGTAGGTCGTTAGCCTACCAAGACGGTTCTAAATAAGCGTCAAATACTCGCATTCTCTCCAATCTCCTCCAATACCCGTGCACTATATGCGATACAAGGAAGCGTTTTGTTTGTAAGGATGTATAAGCCATCCAGAAGAACTTGAAATAGATATACAGCCGATACATAAGCTTGTCTGTCTGTCATGCCTATAGGCCGCAATTTTTGCAGCTATTGTGATGGAAAAGGATAAATGCTTCTGAAAATAGTTCAGACCAGATGACTTCTTCGACCACTTACCAAATAACATCTAATTTTGAAAAGATATTATATATCTGTAGGAGTATATATATATATATATATATCTGTAATATCTGTAAGGCAACGTAGGGTACTTTATAGCCCACTATACTGTTTTCACTTAAGGCAGAGATATATATGGGAAATGATGAGCGAAACTTTCCCTCTGCAATAGATTTTACCTCTCGATGAAAACAAAAAGTCGTTATTTGCCAACTGTATGCGGCGAAGTGATATAGGGCTTCCAAATCCAACTACATCTAAAGCCTAACTACTTGGTAATGATCGGTTAAAGCGTTTGTAGAGCTCCTTGCTAATGCAGATGGTGGGTGTCTTTGCTACACAAATTCGAATTTATCTTCACATCCGTGGAAACGACGAACGCTATTGAAAGCGATTTAGATTGGTCCACTTTCTCGAGTACTTCCCATATAAGGTGTAATTTTGAATTTTCAAAATTTCGCGACAAAGTGCCTTAGTAATAGTATTAAAATCTGAACACATAATCGAAATTTAAAAGAAAACAGATAGAGTTCACAAACTGAATCGATTTCAGAAAAGTCAAAATTGATCGCTTAAGTTCCGTTTCACGATAAAAAGGGCGGAAATTAAAAACAATTTATGGATTCAAATTTATTTTCTCACTTTCCATTACTATGTCATCGTATGACCCAAGTCTCTCACATCCAAAGCATCTTGATCCAAGCGGTAACTAACTAACTGGGGAGAATGTCAGACAAAATCTTAAGCTTTTTATTCTGCTCAGTCGGA